TCCCAGTCATCCGTAGTCATTTCTAGTCATCCCAGTCAACCCTAGTCATCCCTAGTTATCCCCAGTCATCAATAGTCATCCCTAATCATCACAGTCATCCATAGTCATCCTTAGTCAACCCTTCTCATTTCTACTCATCCATAGTCATCTCTAGCCATTCCAGTCTTCTTTAGTCATCCCTAGTCATCCGAAGCCACCCCTAGTCATTTCAGTCATCCATTGTCATCCGTTGTCTTTCCTAGTCATCCTAGTCGTCCCTAGTCATCCCAGTTATCCCAGGTCATCCTTAGTCATCCCAGTAATCTCCAGTTACCCTAGTCCCCCCAGTCATCCCTAGTCATGCCTTGTCATCTCGTAGCCATCCCTAGTCATCTCTAGTCATCTTAAGTCATCCCCAGTCATCTCTAGTGATTCCAGTTATCTCTAGTCATTCCTTGTCAACATTAGTATCTTATCGGTTGGGGACTCCCAAATTGCACCATCTTGTGAAGTTCGAAACCTGAGAACCTGGTTTGATTCTAAAATGAGTATGCTAAGTCATATCAACAAAACTTGCTCATCCTCTTTTTATTATCTTTATAACATGCGTAGAATTAGGAAATATTTAAGTCGTTCAGTCACCGAATCATTAGTTCATGCTTTTATCACCAGTAGAATAGATTATTGTAACAGTCTACTACATGGCCTGCCGAATTCACATATCATGAAACTCCAAAGGATACAGAATGCCCCGGCTCAGTTGGTCATGCCTAGACATCCCTAGTCATCCCTTAGTCATACATAGTCATCCCCAGTCATCCCTAGTCATCCCAGTCAATCTCTAGTCATCCCTAGTCATCCATAGTCATTCCTAGTCATCTGTAGTTATCCCTAGTCATCCTTAGTCATTCTTAGTCGTCCCTAGTCCTCTTAGTCATCCTTAATCATCCCTAGTCATCCCAGTCATCCCTCATCATCCGTAGTCATCCCCAGTCATCCCTAGTCATCCCTAGTCATCCTAGTCATCCCTACTCATCCTTAGTCATTCATAATCATTCCTAGTCATCCCAGGCATTCCTAGTAATTCCTTGTCATTCCTAGTCATCCCTAGTCATTCCAGTCATCCTTAGTCATCCATAGTCATCCCTAGTTATCCCAGTCTACTCTAGTTATCCCTAGTCATCCCTAGTAATTCCTTGTCATTCCTAAACATCCCTTGTCGTCCCAGTCATCCCTAGCCATCCCTGGTCACCGTTGGTCATCCCAGTGATCCCTAGTCATCCCTAGGCATCCCTAGTCATACATAGTCATCCCTAGTCATTCCTATCAGTAATGGTGGAACGGCAGTGGTGGAACAGTAGTTGTCGAAAGGCAATGGTGTAACACCGATTGTTGATCGCTAATGGTGGAAATGAAATCGTCCTAAACTAATTATGGAACAGTAATGGTGAAACAGCAAAGGTGGAACAGTATTGGTTTAACAGTAATGGTGGAACATCAATGGTGGAAAAGTGGTTGTGGAACAGTAATCCTGGAACAGCAATAGTGGAAGAGTAATGGTGGAAAAGTATTGGGGAACAGCCACTGTGGAACAATAATGGTGGAACAGTAATGGTGAAACAGTAATAGTGGAACACTTATGGTGGAAGAGTTATGGTGGAATACCAATGGTGGAACAGTAAAGCTAGAACAGCAATAGTGTAACAGTAAATGTGGAAGAGTATTGGTGGAACAGTGATGGTGGATCGGTAATGGTGGAACAGTTATGGTGGAAAAGCGATGGTGGAACAGTGATTGTGGAACAGTGATGGTGGAACTGCAATTGTGGAAGAGCAATGGTGGAACGGTAATGGTGGAACAGTTATGGTGGAATAGGAATGGTGGAACAGTGATGGTGGAACAGCAATTGTGGAAGAGCAATGGTGGAACAGTGATGGTGGAAGAGCAATGGTAAAAGAGTAATGAGGGAGCAGGAATGGTGGAACAGTAATGGTTGAAAGGCAATGGTGGAACAGTAATGGCGGAACTGCAGTGGTGGAACAGTAACGGTGGAACAGCAATTGTAGAACAGCAATGGTGGAACGGTGCTGGTGGAACAGTGATGGTAGAACAGTTATGGTGGAATAGTAATGGTGGAACATTGATGGTGGAACAGCAATGGTGGAACAGTAATGGTGGAACGGTAATAGTTTAACAGTAATGGTGGAACAGTTATGGTAGAAAAGCAATGGTTCAACAGTAATGGTGGAACTGCAGTGGTGGAACAGTAACGGTGAAACAGCAATTGTAGAACAGCAATGGTGGAACGGTGCTGGTGGAACAGTGATGGTGGAACAGTTATGGTGGAATAGTAATGGTGGAACATTGATGGTGGAACAGCAATGGTGGAACAGTAATGGTGGAACAGTAATAGTGGAACAGTGATGGTGGAACATTTATGGTAGAATAGCAATGATGGAACAGTAATGGTGGATCAGTAATGGTGGAACAGTACAGGTGGAAAGGCAATGGTGGAACACCGATGGTTGAACACTAGTCGTGAAACAGTAATGGTGGAAAAGCAATGGTGGAACAGTAATGATGGAACAGCAATGATAAAATAGTAATGGTGGAACAACAATGGTGGAACAGTAATGGTGGAACGGTAATAGTGGAACAGCAATGGTGGAACAGTAATGGTTTAAAAGTAATTGAAATTGGAAATCCCAACCAAGTTCCCTGATTGGGACTTGTCTCACTCTTCCAAATTTGGGATTTTTGTGGGTATTCTTTAAATACCCTAAAATATCCAAAAATAGGAATCTGTTATTTTTTCCTGTGATGGTGGAACAGTAATGGTGGAACAGCAATGCTGGAACAGTGATGGTGGAACAGTAATGGTGTGACTGTGACAGTGGAACTTTAATGATGAAATAGCAATGGTGGAACAGTATTGGTAGAACAATAATGGTGGAACTGTGATAGTGGAACTGTGATGGTGTAACAGTGGAACAAAGATGGTGCAACAGAAATGTTGGAACACTAATGGGGGAGTAGTTATGGTAGAATGGCGACGGTAAAACAGTAATGGCCGAACAATAATTGTTGACCAGTAATCGTCGAACAGTGATGGTGGAACAGTGGAACAAAGATGGTGGAACAGTAATGGTGGAACACTAATGGTGGAGTAGTAATGGTGTAACGGTGACGGTAAAACAGTAAAGGTCGAATAATAACTGTGGACCAGTAATGGTCGAACAGTGATGGTGGAACAGTAGTGGTATAAAACTGATGTTGGAACAGGGATGGTGGAACAGTGGAAGGGAGAAGGTGGAACAGTAAGACACCGAGAAAAAGTATTTGGTGACGTTCTCGTTAGTAAACAAGCCTTCCTAGACAGTAGAAACATAAATTTATAAAATTGGCAAAGTGGTTTTTTGTTCAAAAAGTTAAAGTTTTTCTATGTTTTGTTTTTATCAAAACTGATCGTGAAAAATTTGTTTGCTGACGTTCTAGGTAGAAAAGAAGCTTTTAAGACTATAAGAACATCGTTTATGAAAAACGCAAAATTGTAATTTTTCCAAAGGGGTTAGTCTATTTTTTTGTCAAAAATTTGAGATTTTCTGAACTTTGATTTTTATGCAAAATCGACCAAGAAAAAGTATCTGAGGAACGTTCTTGTTATAAAACAAGTTTCTTGTAATCATTTGTAAACCATGTAACCCCTTGTAACCCCCTGTAACCCTTTGTATCCCCCTGTAATTTTCTGTAACCCCCAGTAACCCCTTGTAACCCACTGTTGGCCGTTGTAACCATCTGTAACCCCTTGTAACCGTATGTAACCCCTTGGAACCAATTGTAACCCATTGTATATCCCTATAACCCCTAGTAGCCTCTTGTAAGCCCTTGTTTCCCCTTGTAGCCCCCTGTAACCCATTGTAACACCCTGTAATTTCCTATATCGACATCTAATAGACTGTGAAAATAGATAGTGAAAAAACGATTTTCGGCGTTGTATATAAAACAGGCATTTCTGGAATGTTGAAACGTTGGTTTAAAAGCCGCAGAATTTGCATTTTTCCAAAGGTGTAAGTGCATGGTTTTGGTCAAAAAAATTAGATTTTTCCACTTTTTGTTTTATGCAAAATACACCGACTAAAAGTATTTGGTGACGTTCACGTTAGAAAACAGGCCTTTCGGGACAACAGAAACATGGATTTAAGTAAACCGAAAAATTGGCATTTTTGCAAAGGGGTTTGTCAATGATTTTGCTCAAAAAAGTTGAATTTTTTTATCTTTTGTTTTTATCAAGCATGGGTCGAGAAAGAGTGTTTGCTGACTTTCTCGATAGAAAAGCCAACAATAACCCAACAAATTTCGCCTTTTTTGAAAAGGGTAAGTCCATCGTTTTCGTCAAAAATTTGAGATTTATTGAACTGTTATTGTTATGCAAAATAGACCAAGGAAAACTCTCTGGGGCGTTCTAGTTAGAAAAAAGTTTATATGTTACCCGCTGTAAGCCGTTGTAAACCCCTCTAACCCCTTGTAGCCCCCTGTAACCTCTTTTAAACCCCTGTAAGCACTATGTCCCCATGTAACAGATCATGAAAATAGATCGTGAAAGAACGATTTTTGACATTTTATGGAGAAAACAAGCCTTTCTGGGCTACGAAAACATCGGTTTAAAGAAACCGCGGAATTTGATTTTTCCAAAGGGGTTAGTCCATGGTTTTGGTCATAAATTTAACATTTTTCCAACTTTTCGTTTTATGCAAAACACACCGAGAAAAAGTATTTGGTGACGTTCTCGTTAGAAAACAACCCTTTCTAGACGATAAAAACATGGATTTAAGAAAACCGTAACATTGGCATGTTTTCAAAAGAGTTAGTCCATGATTTTGATCAAAAAGTTGCAGTTTTTTCATCTTTTGTGTTTATCAAACATAGACCGAGAAAAAGTGTTTGCTAACGCTCTGGATAGAAAAGAAGTCTTTCAAGACTATTAGAACATCTGTTTATAAAGAACGCAGACCTCGCTTTTTTCCAAAGAGGCAAAGTCTTGATTTTGGTAAAAAAGTTGAACCTTACTCATCTTTTGTGTTTATCAAACGTACATCGAGAAAACGTGTTTGCTGACTTTCTGGAAAGAGAAGAAGCCTGTTTAAGAAGAACGCAAAGTTCACTTTTTTCCAAGGGGGTAAGTCCGCCATTTTCGTTAAAAATGTGACATTTATTCAACTTTCATTGTTATGCAGAATAGACCATAAAGAAGTCTCTGGAGACGTTCTAGTTAAAAAAAAGTGTATCTGTAACCACTGTAAGTAGTCCAGCCATATGGTGTAAAAAAATAGCTGCATTGTGCCCTTTGGGGTAAAAGCTTCAAACTCGGCACAGTGATAGTACTAGTTGCACTAATTATTTTTAGCTATGGACCGCACTCAAATATACACGGGGGGAGGCACATTGTGCCCTTGGGGGGAGGGGTCATGGCCTTTTTGTTTGGGTCCGGAAAAGACTCATAAACGGGAAGAAAGCGGCCTAAAAAACTTTTGCATTCAAATTTTCTTCAAAGTTGTGAAAGGTAACCCTATAAAATACCGGTTACTTACTTTTCTGAGAGATTTTCCAAAATTATTTTAAAAGAGTGTGTAAGTGATTCTTGTCAAAAAAAAAAGCCACGTAGAAGCAAGTTGAGTTCTGAAGGGCCGAATTAATTTGAGTTAAAGCATTTCAATATTATACATGCACCCCCTGACACATCAAAACACTTCATTAATATTTTTGAGACACCTCCTGATGGAACAAACAAGACTGCACACGGAAGAAACAAAAGGTCAGGCTACTCAAGGAAATTCTGCATGGCGGACAGGAATGGCTGGTAGGGAATCGAACCCGGGCCACATTGGTGGAAGGCGAGTGCTCTCACCACTGCGCCATCCCTGCATCCCCAAGTAATGGTGGATGAGTAACGGTGGAACAGGGTGTAATAGCAATGGTGGAATATTGATGGTGGAACAGCAATGGTGGAACAGTAATGGTGGAACAGTAATAGTGGAACAGTGATGGTGGAACATTTATGGTAGAATAGCAATGATGGAACAGTAATGGTGGATCAGTAATGGTGGAACAGTACAGGTGGAAAGGCAATGGTGGAACACCGATGGTTGAACACTAGTCGTGAAACAGTAATGGTGGAAAAGCAATGGTGGAACAGTAATGATGGAACAGCAATGATAAAATAGTAATGGTGGAACAACAATGGTGGAACAGTAATGGTGGAACGGTAATAGTGGAACAGCAATGGTGGAACAGTAATGGTTTAAAAGTAATTGAAATTGGAAATCCCAACCAAGTTCCCTGATTGGGACTTGTCTCACTCTTCCAAATTTGGGATTTTTGTGGGTATTCTTTAAATACCCTAAAATATCCAAAAATAGGAATCTGTTATTTTTTCCTGTGATGGTGGAACAGTAATGGTGGAACAGCAATGCTGGAACAGTGATGGTGGAACAGTAATGGTGTGACTGTGACAGTGGAACTTTAATGATGAAATAGCAATGGTGGAACAGTATTGGTAGAACAATAATGGTGGAACTGTGATAGTGGAACTGTGATGGTGTAACAGTGGAACAAAGATGGTGCAACAGAAATGGTGGAACACTAATGGGGGAGTAGTTATGGTAGAATGGCGACGGTAGAACAGTAATGGCCGAACAATAATTGTTGACCAGTAATCGTCGAACAGTGATGGTGGAACAGTGGAACAAAGATGGTGGAACAGTAATGGTGGAACACTAATGGTGGAGTAGTAATGGTGTAACGGTGACGGTAAAACAGTAAAGGTCGAATAATAACTGTGGACCAGTAATGGTCGAACAGTGATGGTGGAACAGTAGTGGTATAAAACTGATGTTGGAACAGGGATGGTGGAACAGTGGAAGGGAGAAGGTGGAACAGTAAGACACCGAGAAAAAGTATTTGGTGACGTTCTCGTTAGTAAACAAGCCTTCCTAGACAGTAGAAACATAAATTTATAAAATTGGCAAAGTGGTTTTTTGTTCAAAAAGTTAAAGTTTTTCTATGTTTTGTTTTTATCAAAACTGATCGTGAAAAATTTGTTTGCTGACGTTCTAGGTAGAAAAGAAGCTTTTAAGACTATAAGAACATCTTTTATGAAAAACGCAAAATTGTAATTTTTCCAAAGGGGTTAGTCTATTTTTTTGTCAAAAATTTGAGATTTTCTGAACTTTGATTTTTAGGCAAAATCGACCAAGAAAAAGTATCTGAGGAACGTTCTTGTTATAAAACAAGTTTTTTGTAATCATTTGTAAACCATGTAACCCCTTGTAACCCCCTGTAACCCTTTGTATCCCCCTGTAATTTTCTGTAACCCCCAGTAATCCCTTGTAACCCACTGTTGGCCGTTGTAACCATCTGCAACCCCCTGTAACCGTATGTAACCCCTTGGAACCAATTGTAACCCATTGTATATCCCTATAACCCCTAGTAGCCTCTTGTAAGCCCTTGTTGCCCCTTGTAGCCCCCTGTAACCCATTGTAACACCCTGTAATTTCCTATATCGCCATCTAATAGACTGTGAAAATAGATAGTGAAAAAACGATTTTCGGCGTTGTATATAAAACAGGCATTTCTGGAATGTTGAAACATTGGTTTAAAAGCCGCAGAATTTGCATTTTTCCAAAGGTGTAAGTGCATGGTTTTGGTCAAAAAATTTAGATTTTTCCACTTTTTGTTTTATGCAAAATACACCGACTAAAAGTATTTGGTGACGTTCACGTTAGAAAACAGGCCTTTCGGGACAACAGAAACATGGATTTAAGTAAACCGAAAAATTGGCATTTTTGCAAAGGGGTTTGTCAATGATTTTGCTCAAAAAAGTTGAATTTTTTTATCTTTTGTTTTTATCAAGCATGGGTCGAGAAAGAGTGTTTGCTGACTTTCTCGATAGAAAAGCCAACAATAACCCAACAAATTTCGCCTTTTTTGAAAAGGGTAAGTCCATCGTTTTCGTCAAAAATTTGAGATTTATTGAACTGTTATTGTTATGCAAAATAGACCAAGGGAAACTCTCTGGGGCGTTCTAGTTAGAAAAAAGTTTATATGTTACCCGCTGTAAGCCGTTGTAAACCCCTCTAACCCCTTGTAGCCCCCTGTAACCTCTTTTAAACCCCTGTAAGCACTATGTCCCCATGTAACAGATCATGAAAATAGATCGTGAAAGAACGATTTTTGACATTTTATGGAGAAAACAAGCCTTTCTGGGCTACGAAAACATCGGTTTAAAGAAACCGCGGAATTTGATTTTTCCAAAGGGGTTAGTCCATGGTTTTGGTCATAAATTTAACATTTTTCCAACTTTTCGTTTTATGCAAAACACACCGAGAAAAAGTATTTGGTGACGTTCTCGTTAGAAAACAACCCTTTCTAGACGATAAAAACATGGATTTAAGAAAACCGTAACATTGGCATGTTTTCAAAAGAGTTAGTCCATGATTTTGATCAAAAAGTTGCAGTTTTTTCATCTTTTGTGTTTATCAAACATAGACCGAGAAAAAGTGTTTGCTAACGCTCTGGATAGAAAAGAAGTCTTT